CCACTGGATGCAACAAATGCCTTGTTTATAATGGGTTTTCATGTTTTTGAATCATCGCTCCGGCCGGGACAGGGCATCATCACTGTATGGTAGGGGCATAACATTTCTGTCACATGCTTGAGGTATTCGACCAATCACAACGCACTGGATAGCTGGCCAATTTATTATTAATTATTGTTGTTGTTTATTTTATACAATTAATTATGATTATACAATTTACAACAACAATCAATTTCTGTCTTCATTTTTAAAATTAGTAATTAATTATATTAATAATATTATAATATTATAATTAAAACATTATTATTATTATTATTACTATTAATATATTTACATTGATGTTTTAACAACCCAATCAAATGTATTATTATTATTATTAATAATAATAATAATAATAATAATAATATTATAATTATTATTATTATTGGGTCCACTTTAAAGTCCATCCACAAAGTACAAATAACACACTTCATGTTATGTAAGATTAAATAAAGAGATTAAATATTTAATGTTTACTTACATGTCATGCGACCACTAACCAACATCAGAGAACCGCAAACATGAGAATATGTCTTTGCAACTGTTTTGATATTTTGATATATAGAAAAATCACCTCATTCTGACCTACTATATGTTTAGGTGCAACTCTGAAACTGAATATAATTGTGACCCTGGACCACAAAACCAGTCATAAGGGTACATTTTTTGAAATCTGAAAGCTGAATAAATAAGCTTTCCATTGATGTCTGGTTTGTTAGGAGCTATTGCTACAAATATACCCCAGCGATTTAAGACTGGTTTTGTGCTCAAGGGTCACAATTATGAAAACAAAGCAGATTATGCAGGTTTGCACAAAGACATTTCATTGACTTGCTACCAAATGTCTCCGGTCGCCACTATATGCAGCACAAAACAGTGAAAAACGCTCCTCTGGTTAATAAAGTCTGTTTTCTTGCATCAGTGACAATGAATAGAGAACGAGGATAATTATTTATGAAGTGCGTGATTAACTACTCCTTCAGATTGCACTCTTGAACTCTAGAAACTTCAAGCGGCTTTCCAAATCAATTTCCAGGATTTGATGTGTCCTGCACAGAACGAATGAGGCGGCAAGAGCATCCCAACAGGTCATGAGTTCAAATCCCCTGGCTCTCGTCTAACTAAATCCCCACAGACCAAAACATCCCGAGAGGCAGACAGAGCCGATCCTCGAGCGCCAGATGAGCCAAGCGCAAGATTGAATTATTGTGTGAGATGTAACAATCAGTGCAGAGCTGTTCGGCCCTCACTAGCGCCAGTTTATGGACTCGAGCAGATGGCACGACCTCTGGTGTAACACTGCGGGGAGATAAATCAAAGCGATCAGGGTGTGTGTGTGTGTGTGTGTGTGTGTGTGTGTGTGTGTGAGGAACAATGAGTGAAAAATGGGAACATTACATCCAGAAACATGCACGAGTGCAGACGGTGCTGCTTGACAACGCATTATAAGCTTACAGTCATGCATTATTTAATTAAAAAACAAAAATAACCTCAGTGCTCAAGGGGGCGATAGAGCTTCCTTCAAATGTCAAATGTGCTGTAAGTGTTTGCATTCACAAACATGTCTTGTTTAGGTTTAAAGGAACTAAAAGAAAAGCACAGTTTTGATAAAGTACTCAAAGGTTTCATAAACGGAGGCTTGTAAGCCGATGAAGAGCTAATTAAGTATTTTGAAGGATATGGCTTTTTTTTTTTTTTAGAGTGAA